CGAAGACTGGCTCGAGCATTACGAACTGGTGAGCGCCAACAATAAGTGGGATGAAGCCGACAAGCTGGGCCACGTCATATTTTATCTCACTGGCGTCGCAGAAAACACAACATTCCCACATGGAGCGTCTTCAAGACGTCATGTGCCGAAGTGTTCAGTCAGCCGGCTGTCCGCAAGCAGCGAGCAGAACAGCGCTTGCGCGTCCGCTCTCAGCAGACTGGAGAAAATTTTACCAGCTATATTGAGGATGTCGTCGACCTTTGTCGACGCGCGAATGACACCATGCCCGAGTCGGACAAGGTCAAACACATTCTGAAGGGCATCTACGATGGCTGTTTTCAAATGCTCTTGGCTAAGAATCGAAGCACAGGTTCTGAAGTCATCAGCTTGTGTCAGAGCTATGACGAGTTGAAGAAGCAACGCACTCTGACTCGGCAGCCTCAGCCTAGTGGTGAGTCGTTGTCCAGTTTCGACTCCATGCCTGACAATTCACCATTGCTTCAGCAAGTCCGAGCCTTCGTCCGTGAGGAAGTCACCCGCCAACTTTCCCTAGTGCCCTTTACTCACGAGACCACCACCCGTCTACCTGCCCCGCTTCGCACTGCTATATCGGAAGAGGTTGCACAAGCTGTTCCTCTTGTGCACTACGAGCCACCTCTATCTAGCCGTGGTCACTGCCCGGGTGTCGCACAGCGGGTAGGCGCTCCTGTCGCCTATCCGCCAGCCGTTCAGCCTGTGGCCGCGCCCCTAACCTATGCAGCGCAGCCTGTGGCTCCTACTGTCGCCTTTTCGCAAGAGATGCAGCCCGTAGCCGCGCCGCTCACATATGCAGACGATGTATGTAGGCTCCCGCAACCACCCTACACCACGCGCTCACAGCCCGCACAACCGGCTACTTATACTGCATCTTGGGCGGCAGCACCAGTCGCCAATCCCAGGAGGACGCCCGATAACCGACCGATTTGCTCCGCCTGCTTCACTCCCGGACACGTTTCTCGCTACTGCCGCCGTCAACCTCAGACGTTCGGCAACTATGCCCGGTCGTCGCATCCCGGCAGCCAAGCCTTCGTCCAATACGGGCCGGTCTCGCCACCTCGCTATGCCCCTACTGACCACCTTGACTTTCAGCCGCAACACGCACCCTCTCCTCATCGGCGATCGCCCTCCCCCATGCGTCGCCGATCCGGACCTTCCGACCAGGAAAACTGAGCACCGCAGTTCAAGAGGCAAGAACTGCGCCATTTTCGAACTGTCTAAGCGCTCGCCCCTCTCCTGCTAACGTGGTCGCAGTAACTGTTGAAGGTTATTGTACTTTCGCCCTTGTGGACACCGGCGCCGCTGTTTCTGTTATTGCCGCTAATCTCTGCCGTTTATTACGCAAAGTAACGACGCCGCTTTCGGGATTGTCGCTTCACACCGCAAGCGCACAGCAAGTAACGCCTCTCGCAGCCTGCACTGCAAGAGTCTCCATCGAAGGCATTCTTTACATCGTGGAGTTTATTGTTCTCCCTGTCTGTTCGCATGACGTCATCCTCGGGTGGGACTTTCTATCCCGCCATAATGCCGTCATAGACTGCGCATGCGCCGAAGTTGAGTTCCCACCCTTGTGTGATGTCCCATTACTTGACGCTCTTCATCAGCCGCCGAAGTTGCTCGTTCATGAAGATACGGATATTCCGCCTGAAAATTTCGCACTTGTTCCCGTTTCATGCAACGCCTACACTGACGCTACAGTCCTTTTTATGCCTTCCGATATCTTCAAATGTCGTCGAGCTTTGCCGCTGCCTTTCGCAACAATTGACCTTGCCACCGGAAGAAGCAACATGTTCGTAAGCAATCCGCTTTCCACACCTGTCACTTTGCTTGCGGGGGAATGTCACGGCCGCGTGCAGGATCTCGACCTTTCGTTTTTGGTTGATGTCTCGGATGACTACTGCGACCACCCAAAAGCACTGTCGGCACTAGGGGAGTCGCCCAATGATACGTTTTCCAGCGCCATCGCCGACACTCTCACTCCCACCAAACATGCCGACCTGCTGGATCTTCTGCATGAGTTCAGGAGTTATTTCGATGTGTCGCAACCTCAACTGGGCCGCACATCACAAGTCAAACATGATGTTGACACCGGCCTACACCAGCCACTGCGTCAAAGACCATACCGTGTCTCCGCTGAAGAGCCCCGCGTCATCAACGAACAAGTCGAAGATATGCTTCATAGAGACGTCATTCGACCCTCTCACAGTCCCTGGGCGTCTAACGTCGTCCTGGTGCGTAAGAAAGACGGATCTATCCGACTTTGCGTGGACTATCGTCGTTTGAATAAGATAACCCGAGGGGCGTCTATCCTTTGCCGCTCATTCATGACGCCATTGACACCCTTCACGGAGCGGAATTTTTCTCGTCGCTAGATTTGCGGTCTGGCTACTGGCAGGTCCCAATGGCTGAAGCCGATCGCCAAAAAAACAGCACTGATTACACCAGACGGACTATATGAATTTTAACGTCATGCCCTTTCGGCTTTGTAACGCGCCTGTCACGTTTGAACGTCTTACGGATAATACGCTACGTGGCCTCAAATGGAACATGTGCCTCTGTTACCTCCACGATGTCTTGGTTTTCTCCCATGACTTTTCTACACACCTCCTTCGCCTCAGGCACGTTTTGACTTGTCTGACCAACGCTGGTCTGCAGCTTAACCTGAAAAAATGCCGCTTCGCTGCACGCGAGCTCGTCATCCTAGGCCACATCGTGTCCAAGCACGGCGTATTACCTGACCCAGCAAAACTTCGAGCAGTCGCAGAATTTCCAAAGCCGACGACCATGAAAGAGCTTCGCAGTTTTGTAGGCCTATGCTCCTATGCCCCGCCACGGTGGTCTAGTGGCTAAGGTACTCGGCTGCTGACCCGCAGGTCGCGGGTTCAAATCCCAGCTGTGGCGGCTGCATTTCCGATGGAGGCGGAAATGTTGTAGGCCCGTGTACTCAGATTTGGGTGCACGTTAAAGAACCCCAGGTGGTCGAAATTTCCGGAGCTCTCCACTACGGCGTCTCTCATAATCACATGGTGGTTTTGGGACGTTAAACCCCACAAATTAACCAATCAGGCCTATGCTCCTATTTTTGGCACTTTGTTCGCAATTTTGCATCTATCATGTCACCGTTAACCCAGCTTCTTCGCGGTGACGTGAAACTCTCCTGCTGGTCCCCTACATGTGACTTTGCCTTCACTACCCTGCGCCGTCTGCTCACTTCCCCACCTATTCTTCGCCACTTCGACCCGACGGCTCCTACCGAAGTGTACACCGACGCCAGCGGCATCGGGCTAGGCGCGATCCTCGTTTAACGAAAGCCCGGCTATAGGGGCGTACGGCTGGGCCAGGTGGCGCGCCGGAGCGATACTAGCAGCGCTGCGCGCGGCGGAGAACCGCCCTAGTTGGCCGCAGGCATACCGAGCTGCCGTGCCGCTGCTGCTGGTTTTCAATGGCGAGTAACACGTTGGCGTTCTATTGCGGCTTCCTTTGTCTCGAAAACTGTGAGCTATTTTTTAGGGAGGCGAACCTGACGAAGGGAAAGCTACTCGTGAAACGTGTTCGCGGTGGAGGAGATAATACAAGCAGACGAGCATCAGCTGAACGCCAAGTGCGTTTCACAAGTGCAAGACAACGTCGTCTACGATGTGCGTCCGAGGGTAAACGCTCTTTCTCTTTTTTGTGTTCTTTCTACCGCTCTTGTCGAATGTATTCACGCTCAGAGGCTAAGTACACAAAGGCGGTGATACTAAATTGACTTTTCGCATGCAGATCTGCGCTCATACACGGTCCGTAGCCTCCGGGACGTGCTCTTGCGAGGCGGGAATAACCAGCCGCTGTAAGCATGCCGCGGCTGTGTGCGCCTACGTGAATGAGGCAACTGACGATACCTGTACAAGCAGACCTCAGCAGTGGGGAAAACCGTCGAAAAAACCCAAGCGGGACGTGAACAAGACCATCGCGGACCTTTTCCCAGGTATTTTGATAAGGAATGCATTCGCTCGATTCCTTTTTTCACCGTGGATTCGTGATTGATTGATTATGAGGTTTAACGTGCCGACGCTACACAGACGACGGGGCGCGCCGTAGTGCAGGGTTCCGGATTAATTTTGACCACCTGAGGATCTTTAACGTGTGCCGAAAGCTCAAACACACGGGCGTTGTTGCTTTTCGCCTGCGTCATAAAAGCGGCCGCCGCGGCCGGGAACCGAACCCGCTTTCTTGACATACCCTGGTTTCGTGAACTTATCCTCCTTCTATCTCTACTGTTAAACCAAGTGAAAGCTGATTAGTTTCATGCTAGCAGCGTTGCATTCTTCGTGAAAGTAACACCGAAATTGCAATTTCTATGCAGTTGCAAGAGGCTGAGAAAAATGCCGTCTCGAAGTCTTTCTTTTTACTCTCCATACACAGCTATCTGAATGTTTCTAGAGCCTCTCTACACAAAGAAAGTGTGTAAAACTTTGTTCTTCCTCCAAAAGTTGCAGGGATAAATCAATTTAGGTTAAAGTTGCAGTTATTCAGCTAGGTGATTCAGAAATTCTAATGCCTGTATAGCCACTTAAAAGGTAATAAAGCTCGGTCAGTGTGAAGTATATTAAAAAACTAGGATGGAGCTAATAGTGTAAGTTTGCCTTTAATGACTACTGTTAACCTGACCGGAATTCTTTCTTCTAGCTGGACCCCTCACGTGTGCCAAGGACACAAGGCCAGAGTCACCCACTGATGTCATGGCATGCTATGAAGATTTAGTTTGCCCACTCAACAGTGTTCTAAAGGCCATGAAGATGACGGAGGTAGAGTGAGAGGCCAAGATAGTGGTGGAAAGTCTGGTGTCGACGGTCTCTGCCAACATTGAAAGGGAGCATCTGGCAGCCCTTCTTAGAAATATGAGTGCTGACAGGACACTGTTTCAGCATACGCGTACTGTGTACGACCTCAACAGTCAAACAACGCAGCAAGTAAACACAGACTTCATGGGTGGCCTGTCCTGCGAGGCCAGGATCATTTATTCTACAGAGGTGTGCTTGGCTGATGAAGTCGTCGACCTCGCAATGGCAACCCGTGGCCAGTACAGCAATTTTCGGCAAGTTGGGAGACCTGTTCACAATGGAGAAAAGTTTTATTACATTCTAGAAAAGGGTGTTGAGGTCCACATAAAACTGAAGTTTACAAACCTCCCCAAGTCACAATTAATTCATCAGATAATATTGACCATAAATATACCTTTCAGCTTACGATTTTCTGGCAGTTTTCAATTAAAGGGTTAGAAACAACCAGCACTGGAGTCGCCACTTTGACGATTACAGAATTGCTTCTGGTGATGTACAGAGGTATCAATTAAACTTTTTGTTGAATGCAATCACAGGGGTTACAGAGTGCAGTATGAAGGTTGCTTGACCTTTCCAGGATAAGACTACCAAAAATTATATTAGGAAATATTGCTGCATACCAACCCATTTCATCACGGCAACTGTTTCGGCTGTGAAAAAAAAAGTTCCTCTAAAATGCAGAACTTCATTGCGTTTGCACCTCTATCGACAGACATGTGCAGCACAATTTATTTACATCGGTTGTTTTCGTTTCACCAATCTTTCTTTTCTCTGTACAGATGGCATGAAGCGCGAAAGTATCGCCTCACAAGGTCAAGCTGCCATTCTATCCGCACCAGGAGAAAGCTACCCGAAGCCTTGGCGAAGCAGATGACCCGCAAAAAACCTTTCTCAACTCCAGCCACTCGATATGGTAAGAAATTTGCTAATATCCAAACCTTGAAGTTGATCCGCCGCCATTAATTAGTCACATACCATGAATAATGTTTTATGTGTCCTTTTTTGTGCGTTACATTGTTAATATTTTTGTCCATTGCATGTAGGTCTCCGGAATGAACCAAAGGCACGAAAGGCACTGGAGCAGAAACTTCAGACTCCCAATCTTGAGGTACACGTGCCGCAAATCCTGAAGACCCTTTTATGACCGCATGCCATCGAGACTTGAACCCTTCTTGAAAGAGCTTGTGCCTGTGCGCGTTAGATCTAAACAAACACAGCGTCCTGCAGCTGCTCACCTTAAGATACATTCTCGCACGGCAAAGAATATTTTTTGAGAAGACCCCCCATTGCTACTACTCCTGAACTAAAATAAAATAAAGTTTATTCCTCCTCCCGCCTCTTCGGCAGCTAGGGCTCTGTCCTGACATCTGTATGAAATGGGCATTTTGGTAATGACCTGCATGAATGTCATTGGATCTTGTAACATAAAATCATGACTGCTTCTCTTCGTCTACCGTCCATTTGTATTTTAGGATGGAAGGCTTGTCACTGAATCTAGTAATCTGCTGACTTGGGCAAAGTTCGTCACATTCTGATAAAGTGAATATAAGGTGGAAATCTGGCAAGGAGTAATCAGGCTGCCTCTGCGGTCTGATGATACAGATACATTGAATTTTGTGAAGTAAAGGCTACTGTAGCCCTGACTGTATTATTATTTATGAACATGTTGTAACACAATTTTAAATACTTCAAACTTTTGTCTTCGGCAGAAAATAAATATCGTCCAGTCTAGCAACTTGGTGTTCAGACAGAGCTGCTTAGCAGTTTGAAATAAATATTTTGCATCATTAGACCAACTTGACACATTTCTCAGACTGGACTTGTCATGCTGCCGGAGCAACCATGGCTCGCTTGCAGCCCCGATGGGCTCATGCGGTACGAGGGAAACACGGTGCTCGTAGAAATCAAGTGTCCAGCCAGGTGTGAGAAAGTACCCATCATCGACAAGGAGGGAAAGACGATCTTGGAGTTTTTCGATTGTCAGGCTGGAGCGCTGACCCTCAAGAAATCCCGCAGCTTCTACACTCGACTACAGCTCCAGCTTTACATCATGAACCTTAGTCAAGCAGTGTTTTATGCTTGGAGCCCCGTGCAGGATGACAAGTTTCTTTTTGTAGACAGAAACATGAATTTCCTTTCAGAGGTTGTTCCAAAACTAGAATTCTTTTATTTCACTTATCTACTTGAGGAACTCTCTAAGACAACTTGAACAAAAGTCTGCTTTTTGCCTTGTGAGCAAAAATATACATGTCTCTCATTTGTTTGGGTTTTAAAAACACATCTTTTATACCACCAAGTGATGCTGGTATGTGGTCGAGAAACTACAATTAAATGTCAGTAATGTTTTAGGGCCTGGTGGCTGTCACTCTGCACTAAAGAGCAGTCTGTACTGCTAGAATGTTTTACAGACTAAAGAACAGGACATTTATTTTCAGAATAAGTGCGCTCTAAAAAGCTTTATTTTTATTTGTGATTGTTTTCCACACTGCTCATACCAAAGTGTTAACTAAATATTGTCCACACATTTCACGAATGTTGAAAAATTGTGTCGTGCTTTAGACATTTTTAGCTTGAGTGACTGGTTGCTAACCGAACTTTTTCCGAATTTGAAATTTGAAAGAATGGTGATCAACGACGGCATAACACATTTGCCAACGCTGATGTTGCGAGATGCTTTATACTGTTGTTCCGTTGCGTACATTGAAGTGTTTCGCAAACACCTTTTCTGCATTCTTTACAGCTTTATAATTGGGCTCTGCATGTTCACCAGAGCACTGCAAACCTGTACTACTTTCTACATCTGTGGAATTAAAGTCAGTTGCACACAGTTTGTCAACACATTGTGCAGTTTCAACCTCTGAATGGCTCTCTCCACATGAATATGCACCTGGGCGATGGTTAAGGTAGTCTCCATGTCTTCCGTGGAAAGCTGCCCTCCCCCGACATTGAAAGGCGGCATCACTAAGACAGCGCCCTCGCCTGCCATGGTGGTTTTTATCGCAGGAAACCCCTTATCGCAGAGCACCAAATCACCCGGTTCGATAAGCGACAGAAATCCCGAATCTCGAGTAATGAAACAGTCTGAATGTCTCCAGCCATAAGCTTTTGAAATGAACGACACCATGCCATTGGGAAGGATTGCTATAAGGAACTTCAAAGTGTACGATCCCTTGTAGTGTGAGTAGAGATAATGTTGAGCCTCTGGATCCATAGGCGTTTCTGTCCGGATTTCAGTGCAGTCAATGATGAACGTGCACTTAGGGTAATGCTGAACAAAGCATTCTGGGAGAGTGTCCTTGATAGCACACCACGGGGGAGCAAACACCCACTTCCTCAGCTTTACGCTCAGGCAATCTAGTGTAACCCTGAACACCCGTGAGGCAGTGGATTTACTTATGCCGAAAATGGCACCCAGTGCCGTTAAGCTTACACCTAACTTAAGTTTAATCAAAAAGTGAACCAATCTGTCCTCTTTTGTCACATCTGACAACCGGTACCGTTGCTCGGGCAGAAGGTTGAGCAGCATGCTGAAGACTGTCACTGTAACACTGCAGAGGTCCTGAAGTGCTTGCTCAGATGATTTCACGGACTCTTATCCGAGGAAGCCGCACCTCCTTGCCCATGTCTTTTCAGAATGGGTGACCTAGAATAAAATCGACCACTCATAAATATTGAAGAAAGGAAATAAAACTTTCCAATAAATGTCTGCTACGAGGCTTCATTTTTCTGTTTAGCTTCATCAGCTTTGCCTTTGTATTCGTCGATTGTCACTAAAAGGATCGGCAATGTGTAATGTTTGTTATTACGTAGTGACTTAAGATAGAAATGGTTATAGCACAGTTGTCAATGAACATGTCAGAGAACAGTTGACATCATTCAGCTTGCCCACTGAGCGGATATTGACCTTGCAGGCAAATGTAAAGTTACGGGAATAGCTCATTCGAGCACCCTGCTTCCATAAGCAAGATATGGCAACGGCGTCTTCACCCACGGATAGTTTGTGCAGCTGTACTCAATGACAGAAGTTACTATAACCCACTCAACGAGGATTATCTACAGCATTTAACCAACTGCTCTCAGTGCAGCCCTCGGTAACATAGCTGAATTTTAAAAAGTAGAACTTGCAGGCCCAAATTTTATACTAATTCCAACGACAAATCTGGTTCGTTGGGCAGTAGTACTTCAGAACCAACTGTGGATACAAATTCAAATGCTTGGGATGAGTGCAGCTCCGTTCCGGAGGTTAGAGGGGTGAAAGGTAAGTTAAGTGTGTACAAATATATAATTTTAACAGGTGCACAATTTAATTGTAGATTTACTTTTTTAGTTACCCCATCGAAGGAGTAGAAAGTATGTTGCTTTAAGTGCATAAAAAATCACCTTGTCTGCTTGAGCAACGTGAGTGACTTGTGTGGACCCATGGGTTCCATCGGTTGCAGACAGCATGAACTGCAAAGGACCCTTGCAGCACACAGGATCTGTCTGCGTTTCCTGCGTAGTTCGAAGAAAAACAATTGTACATGGTGAGCTACATGCCACCGGTCACATAGCCTGCGATCTGCATGTTGTAAGACAACTCACGGCGACGCACGTCAATGTGAACTGCTGAGCGTCGACTTCCACCTCCGTCAAGAGCAGCGAGCCCCGCTCTAAGGCTTTTGATTGCGCATTCGCGTCTGGCGAGCAGTCGGCCTCCGACGCGTTCGACAGCACGTCCACGGGTGAGGATTCCTCGGGCGGATGAGGCGACGTCAAATTTTTAGCAGCTGATCGACTCCGCTTTGCCCACCTGCGCAGGGTGAGTATAAGTCAGTGCGAAATCTGGCTGATTCTACCCTTCATCTTACCTTTCGTGTCTCTCACCGCTTACCCGCCGCTTTTTGTAAACATCCGGAAACAGAGTCGACAGGTAGGCTGGGTTGGCCTGGCTCTCGCTCTTCGCATTGTTCCCGAAGTGCCTGCTGCATATTCGTGTTTTTTTTTTTTTTGCGGGAGCCACGGGGAGCCATCAGAGCTATTAGAAAGCAAGGTAATTTTGTTCAGTTTAGCTATTGAATGACAGCAGAAAGACAGAGAAACGGTCACTCACTTTTTCTGCCGCACAGCCCTATTTCAGGCTTCTCGGCAGTCTGTCTCAAACCACTTGCCGGGAAACGAATAGAACCTGACGATGGGCTCTTTTCCCTTCGTGTTTGCGACGCTGTTGTGGCACCCAACTACACAACAATATTTAGAGCCCGGTCTTTTCCTCTTAGACGCACTAGTTTTCATCACGGTGAAGCAGCAAGCAGCGTACTCCAAGCGAATCTGCGGACGAGCGCGCCCCGTGTGCGGCAATGAATTGGAGCAAAGGCCACCAGGGGAGGAAACGGCGCTGCACGCGTGCGGCGAAACTTGAGCCGTACGCCCCTATTCAGAATACGTTGTAGCCTATGCCAGCCGCACTCTGACGAAAGCCAAAACTAATTACAGCGTGACAGAAAAAGAGTGTTTGGCTCTGGTGTGGGCGCTTGGAAAGTTCCCGCCGTACTTATACGGCCGCCCGTTCGATCTAGTAACTGATCACCACACACTTTGCTGGCTCTCCACGTTGAAAGACCCTTCTGGCCGCCTTGCGCGATGGGCACTCCGCATCCAGGAGTACGACATTCGCGTCGTATACCGCTGCGGACGCAAACACTCTGACGCTGATGCCCTGTCCCGCTCACCTTTACCACCAGATCAGACGTGCGGAAACACTTTCCTCCAGACCTTGTAATCGCTAAATCTCGACTCGATTGCCACCGAACGTCGTGACCCGTGGATCGCCTCTCTTATCAAATATTTATCTGGCACGCCATCAAATATTTATCTGGCACGCCCAACCTTCCAGTATCTAGATCCCTCCGACGTCAAGCTTTCCATTTCGCCATCCGCGATCAACTATTTCATCAACGCAACTACGCCCCCCATGGCCGCCGGTGGCTGCTGGTCATTCCACGCACTTTACGATCGCAAGTATGCGCCTCTCTTCACGGTGATCCGCAATGTGGCCACGCCGGAGTGTTCAAAACATATGAACGCCTTCGCCATCGCTATTACTGGCGCGGCATGTAAAATTTTGTACGCAAGTTCGTGCAGCGCTGTCCTGACTGCCAGTGACGCAAATCAACACTGCCACGTGCGAATGGCGCATTGCAGCCACTTCCATGCCCTGCCAAGCCATTTGATCGCATCGGTGTTGACCTCTACGGTCCCCTTCCATTGACACCAGAAGGTAATCGTTGGATTATAGTGGCGGTTGACCACCTGACACGCTACGCCGAAACAGCCGCTTTGCCAAGCGCTACAGCTCAGGATGTCGCCTCTTTCATTTTACAACGCTTTATCCTTCGACATGGTGCACCTCGAGAGCTCCTTAGCAACAGAGGCGGCGCGTTCCTCTCCAAGGTTGTCGAAACTCTGCTTTCGGAATGCCATGTCATTCATCGGAAAACGACAGCATACCACCCGCAGACTAACGGGCGAACGGAACGCTTCAACCGCACGCTAGGTGATATGCTCTCAATGTACGTGGCATCTGATCATAGCAACTGGGACCGTGTTCTCCCATACGTCACGTTCGCATATAACACCGCAATACAAAGCACCACAGGATTCTCACCTTTCTTTCTTCTTTACGGACGTGAGCCTTCCCATACAATTGATACCCTACTTCCCTACCGTCTTGATGCTTCCGAGTGTCCACCTATCTCCGATGCTGCTCGACAAGCCGAAGAGTGCCGCCAGCTCGCCCGTGCGTTCACTTGGAAGAGCAACAACGCCAGAAAGAAAACCATAGCACCTCTCTTCCGGATCCCAGCTATGCCTCAGGGTCTCTTGTGTGGCTTGCCATCCCATACCAAACTCCGGGACTCTCCTCGAAACTTGTCCCCCGGTACGAGGGGCCTTACACCATTTTGGAGAAAACCTCTCCGGTTAATTTCGTAATTGAACCAGTTTCCCGATCGGACGACATGCGCCGGCGTGCACGTGACATCGTCCATGTTTCCCGGCTGAAACCGTACCATAAGCCTCTGCCTGAAACTTCTTAAGTCGCCAGGATGGCTCCTTTTTCAGCGGGGGCGATTGGGAAGAAGAAGATGTGCCTGCAGCGAGCAGCATCGCCAAAGCCCGGCTCTCTCGTCTCGTGCTTCAGCTCGCTGCTGTGCCGGTCTCTGCTGGACGGTTCATCACGCTGTCTTGCCGTTGTCGTTAACTACTGATAAACCTCTTCACAATAGAAATTCATCAGACAATTCTGGTCACTACCCCACTTAGTGCGTGACAACTTTCAAAATACTTGATGTGTGGGATGAAGGTTAGTTTAGTGTCTAATATTAGTCCAAGAAACTTGTGCTCCGTCGTCACTGACAGAGGTTGACCATGCAAGTGAATGTCGGGGTCAGGATGGAGGCCCCTCTTTCGGCTGAAGAAGACGCAAGTGCTCTTTTACGCGTTGGGTATAAAACCATTCTCATCTGCCCATTGAGACAACTTGTTGAACCCTAGTTAAACTTGACGTTGGTACGTTGAAATGTTGCACGACTTGAAACCAATTTGTACGTCATTGACATATATGCAGTAAAAGATATTACGTGGGAGACGCAGGTGCAAGGAATTAATTTACACTATGAAAAGTGTGCAGCTCTATACACCTCCTTGTGACACTCTTGTTTCTTGGACAAATATTCGAGATAGGACAGTGCCAACTCGGACATGGAATGTCTGGTTGGACAGGTAGCCTTTGATGGTTGTGAGCATTCTACCCCGCACACCTAAACGTGACAGGTCTCGCAATATGCTAAAGCGCCTTGTAGTGTCATATGCCTTTTCCATAACGAGGGTTTGTATTCCGGCTGCGGCGGCTGCATTTCCGATGGAGGCAGAAAAGTTGTAGGCCCGTGTTCGTAGATTTGGGTGCATGTTAAAGAACCCCAGGTGGTCAAAATTTCCGGAGCCCTTTACTATGGCGTCTCTCATAATCATATGGTGGTTTTGGGACGTCAAACCCCACATATCAATCAATCAATTTTCTATATCGAGGAACACAGAGAGGAAAAATTGCTTATGAACAAAAGCGTCGTGAATTTGTGCCTGGATACGGACAAGGTGATCAGTGGTGGACTGAGCCTCTCGAAACTCACACTCGTATGGGTCAAGTAGGCCATTAATTTCAAAGTAGTGCATCAGGCGCCTGTTAATCAATTTCTCAAAGACCTTGCAAAGACAGCTGGTTAACACTATTAGCCTGTAGCTGGAAACTGAGGCCAGGTCATTGCCTTGTTTTAGAATTGGGATAACGATAACTTCCTTCCAGACTGAATGTAGCTAGCCGGAAGACCATATCACATTATACAGGGAGAGGAGAGCTTTTTGGGTATCAGTGGGCAGATGTTTCAACATTTCATAGGCCACATGGTCCAGGCCTGGGGTAGATTTATTGCAGCAGGTAAGTGAGGCTTGTAGTTCCGCCAAACAGAAAGGTTCATTTTATGGCTCGTGTTGTGTGGGTTTGCGTTTTAATCTCTGTTTTGCTATTCTGGTTTTGTATCGTTGGAACGCTTCACTATAGTGTGATGAGCTGGAGACCTGCTGGAAGTGCGCTCCGAGAGTGTTCA